TCTGGTAGGATTTCCTTCTTCAGCAAAAATTTCGAGCCAAACAAACTGTAACTGTCCCTACGAGGCCTCCACCTAGATAGAACTTTACATCGAAGCCCTCTTCAGCAAAAAGTTTTGCTATTTTTTACCGAACTCTCGAAAAAGTTTTGATTTTTCGAGAAATACCTACTTAAAGCACAGTGCTAGTCCAAGCAAGCCATTGTTGCGTATCGTTGTACTAGTCAACCAAACTGTTTTATAATCAGGTTCGCTCAAACGTTCCTCAATGATTTTTTGCAAAGGCTCAATCCAAGTGAATTCTTTTATATCATCCACATCGACCACCACTGGTTCCTTCAGCTGTGACGGGATCTTCCGAATTGCATAAGCTGTTGTCATCATGGACGGATCACCCTACAAATAGACGAGATAATGAGGTCCCTGCGAGTTTCTTGTCATCACAATGACGTGCAGGCACATCTTGATGAATGATGGTGCACTTAGAACAGCTCTTGTCTTTTTAAATATTTCTCTTTTAAAAGCAGCGCAATAACCACTCTCACATCTTGTCGCTAAGTTTTACCTGATAGTTACATAGGCGGAATCCGCACTGCTTGTACAAGGCTAGCAATTGCTCATGTGTAAAGTAGGCACCATAGATACGGCCCGAATCACTGATGCTCAACGGTTCACCACTGAGACCTTGGATTGCGAGTGCTATTTCGTAGTCTGACGTTGTCTCGATCACAATTATAAAACCATCATCGCGCAGCAATTCCTTACACCTTGCTAGGTATTGCACAACATCTTTCTTCCTGCAAGTTTTAAATCACTGCTACCGAACTGCAATACATTTTGCATAAAGCAAAAGTTCAGCACAGACTTCAGAATCGACAATATTTTTCTTGGCCCCATGTGATAAGTATTTTTCGGTGGCACCCCTTAAAAAAATTTGCTCGTAACTAGGAATTTCAGCAAATTTTTACGAGTACCGTGCAGCAAGGTTCTTTGTACCAAAAAAA